CCCCAGCCTGTGCCTGTTTTCCTCTGGCATCTGGCCCGTTCACAGGTCGTTCAGTCCACTGGACTGTGTAATAAATACCAGACAGAGATGATGCTTTAGACAGAACAGGAACACTTGTGACTGAAACAGGTCCTGAATCTAGAATGGGGTGGCCTGAGGACAATCAGAGCATAAAAGCAGCCAATGGTGTACACTGTAAGTGGAAAAACTTTCTCCAAATTGCTCCCGTTTCCCTTCTTTTCCCTCCTCAACAACACCGCTTGGTCAAGAAGCCAAAGCTGAAAACAGCAGGATCAATGTTGTGAAGTAGTACCTGTGCTTACCTGAAATAACTGGATGCTGTTTAAAATTATTTCTTTAAAAACAGGAATCATAACTTTTGAACAGATGCTCAATTTAAACCTCTTGTGGCATTTTGGCCACAACAAAAAGGACCAAATTCCCTTGGGAATAAATTTAGTCAAATCGATGAAGTTACCTCCTGGCTGAATCTGGCCCAACACGCCCAAAGCATCCTTTGGGATTGTTCAGTTCCAAGTGTTGCACTAATCCAGTCTCCTGCAGTTCCTGAAGGCTATAATGTTTGGTGTAAGTGTATGGCATTTTAGACTTTTTGACACAAGCTTGGTATCATCAGTAGAGTATTTCATTGCTTTCTTACCTTTTGCCAGGTCTGTGAGCTTTTGGATTAGCACTGAAAAGCTTGAGAACAAACTCTGCTTTCAGTATGACAAAATATCTTGCTCAGGTCAGAGAAAATTTTTATTTTTACTTCTCTCAGTTTAGTGTCTGCTGTGAAGATGATTCTCAGAGATCAAGAAAAGCATATAATGTTTAAAACAAAACATTTGTTAACCAAGGATTTCCTGGATATTTCTGCTTTCTTATTTATACTACGTCCTGGACCTTGTGAAATCACTGTTTAACTTTCAGTATTATTAATGGAAGCAAGCCTGTTGCTGTTTCCAGATCTCACAGAGAACCTACAGTTTGCAGTTTCAGTACTAGGTGCATAGTCCTGGCTTAAATTAATCAACTAAAAAGCAACATACAGTAAGCACTTAACCCTCTCACGCCCTGGCTGAAACTTCACAGGTAGGATCTTTTCCTACCTTGAAGCTCTCTCATTAGAGTCAGGTTCCTGGGTCCTAAAAGCTCCTCTTCTATGACAATTTAGAATTTGGGAGTGCAGCAGAGGTGAATACTAATTTTGGGGCATTTCCGTTGCGCACAGAGAGAGATGTGAAACGTTACCCCCTCAGTTATAGATATAAAATGCCTAAGCATGGAAACAGATTCTAGGAAATGAACAATTTTTATGAGTTTTTGCATGCTGCCACTATTGATCAACAGTCTTCAATCCACAATAGAGAGAGGCAGACAAGGAGTAATGATTCAGTGCAGTGAGTGTGTGCTAAATCATTATTAACCTCTGTGCTGTCACTGTGACTACTCTGACTTACAACCACGGGGGAAAAATCAGCTGCAAGTGGAACCCTCCTCAGCACATGGGCCCTGGATTTGCAGGCTGTAGCATTATGTGTCATCATTCACAGCTGCATAAACCAAGTGCAAAGTAGTTTTTGAATGTTAGCAGATCAGAAATGAACATTTTACATTCATTTGCATGAGCAGAAATGACCTGCATGTGGGAAGCTCACGTGGCTGCTGGTAATGGTTGCACAATAAGTACTATAGTGAAGGGAAAAGGATGAGAGAGAGTAATAATAAGTAACTAATTTAAAACTCTGCTCAGGTTCTCCCTTACCTTAGAGTCTTGTTGACACCTGTAGCTTTATGTCACATCACAGAAGACACATGGGATCATTGCTCAGGCTTCACCATCACCAGGTAAATCCACTCAGGAAGCTCCTGGGATGACACATAAAGGTTATAAACTGATGATGGTAGGATGGAATATCATCATTTACCAATGTTTTTTCAAGACCTGGGAAAATTCATCCCAAAGTCTTTATCTAAAAGAGAAAGTATTAAGGCTGCAAAGTCAGGCACACACTGAAATTAGAAAATTTCAGCATTAGAAAAAGCAGCCAGGAATCCTGTGATTAAAGATTCCTTTAGGGCATATACATGGAAAGGCAACCTTTATTCTGGCATTTTCTAACTTCAGTGTACTTGTAAATTATGTACATTTTGGCAAGGATTTTGTATCTGTAAAATGTATATATTATATATAGAACTGAATTAATCTCTGATATATTTCTGCCTCATAAATACAGTTTCCTGTTTCCATGCTGGAATCTACAGCATTATCATATTCACATGCCAGCTGCTGGATTTATTCTTGATAATCCAAAGGCTGAGCCTGGACATGGCTCAGCCTCTCCAAATTTCAGTCTTATCTGGCATTTTTTCTAAGTCACCCAGATAAATTATCTCAGTGTCCCGAGGGAAAGTGATTCTCTTGTCCAGGGGCTCTGGAGAGCTCCAATTTTTTTTTCTTCATCTGACACACAATTATGAGCTCAAGTGCTAAGACTGATGAACAGATGTTTTTTTTCTTTTCCACTGATATAGTTTTTTAAATGTGTAATGTTGTACCAAGAATTTCAAAATAAAAGAAGTAGTTTTTAAAACACTGAGTTAGCAAGAGTGTGGCAAATTTATTTCAGTGTGCAACAAGCCACATAAAGAAAGATCAACACAGTGAGTCTGAAAATAATCTTCCTGTAGAATTAGAAAAGTGGAAGAAAGGCTGGAGAAGGAGACCCACTAATCATCTTCTTGCAAGTCATATAAGAACATGACATATTCATTTGCACTTGAACAGATTATTTTGTTCTCCAGAAGAAAGAAAAAAAAAAGTTTCCTATAAATTTTTTTCCCATAAATAAATGAGCTAACAAATTAGAAAAGAAAAAAAAAGCATATTTAACTTTTATTGCATTCAAATTTTGAATTATAGACGTGGCTCATTTTCATTCATGTCCTCTTTCCATGATAGAATGTTCTGCAAAAGCAGTGAAACTGCTGTTTGTGGCTCCCTTTAAGTAGAAGTTACACAAACACTGGTCCCATTTAATTCAGTGAAAACTGAGGCTCCTGTTCGACCTGAGAGCAGAGCACAGAACCTTCAGTATTCCACCTGCACACCCATTCCACAGCCTCCTTCCCTCTTTCCTGCCCAGGTACACTTCCAGGGAAAAAAAAAAAAAAAGGCAGGCAGAGCACAAAGCATCCTCTGACATATTCAGAGAACTGATGTGTCCACTGAAAACATATTTCCAACATGCCAAGAACACGGACCATGTTTGGGTCAGGAGATCCTGCCTGCTCCCAGTGAGAGGTTAATGGAAGATGACTGTGTACGTTTGCTGCTGTTACTCAAATATCACTTCCTTATGACAATATGCATTACTTAATCTGCAAAGGTCAATGAATTGCTCTTTAGTTCCTTCCAAATGCCTCAGCAGTGAACTTTGTCATTTTTAATACACATTTCTCAGCAAAGAACTGGTGCTACAGGTTTGAGGCTTAGAATGTCTCTGCACCTGCAAACACCTTTCACTGCACTGTATTTCCAGCACTTCCCACACGGCTTCAGAACTGCCAGGCCTAAGCAGAGACTCCCCTGCAGAGTTCACTCTCAATTTGCACAAGCTAAGCAATAACGAGTTCAATTATTACTTTTGTTTTAAATCTTCTTGCAATGTAAATGATTAGCCAGAGTGCTGAATGTGAAACAGAAACACAGATGTAGGAAAACCGAGATATGTTATCAATTGCAGTGTGACCATGGGGAAGAGCAGTTCAGATGAGCAACTTACTCTGCATTAGAGCACTTAAAAAAAGAGATGGACACAGTGCAGGTCAACAGCTTGTCCAAAGTGCATAAATGCACAGAGAATGGTATGAATGAGCACAGCCCTAATCCTGGGAGATGGACCCCACAGCTGCTGACTCCCCTTTTCACCCACGGGGGGCTCCCCTGGAACCAGGCATGTTTGTGTGGATCCCCAGAGCCTCCAGGTTTGGGGATAAATCCTGACCCAGTAGGATAGTTTGAATAGCACCAGAAATCTCCCTGCAGCACCAGGACTGCAGGGTTTAACTTAGCAGGTAGTGGAATGCACAAGCACAGCACAGAGACAAGACTGGGGAATTAGGCTGCTGGCAAGTAGCAGCTGAAAGCTGATTGAACACAACAGATTGGGCTTTCAGACTGGACAGATAGGCAGCAGCTATTTAAATGGAGCATTAACAGTTTTGCTCTTAATTATTTCCAAAACTCCCAGCTAATGCAAACTCAGTATGACATGTATTTTGGCCTCAATTAATTATTTGCTGTTTCTGTGGGAATGCAGTTAAAATAAAGCCGAATGGTTTGTTGAGAATTTCTGCCTCTTTAAAATCATTCTCTGAAGTGCTTGGCTTCTTTCTGCAAACAGCTGTCATGGAAGTAACTGAATCTATACCTCACAGAAACGTTCACTTTCTCCATTTCAAGTGGAATTTCTTTCTGAAATGACAGTGCCCTGCAAGCCAACAAATGGTCCCTGCTCTGCCCAGTGGCAGGTGGAAGGCCATGGAACTCCAGAGCTAAATGTGGAAACTTTATGCCTTCAGAAAAGGGAGATTCCTATCTTGCCTATCTTGCATCTTACTTTTTTGGTCTGGGAGGATCTGACATTGTGGCATTTCTATGTCTGGGACAGCTTTTTCTAGAATTTTCTACGAGTATATTACTAGGAAGTTTTATCGCAGATACTTATGTAGTTTGTCCTGTGAAAGCCACAACAGCTGGTTTACACCTCAAAGAATAAACAATTACTAATAAAAATGTCAGACCTTTCCCAAACATCTCTGAAACATGTTTCAACAGGCTGCTTTAATGCAGCTACTTCCAAAAGAGCTTTGTTCCTGTATCTGTATTTTCTATACATCCTCCTTGATACTCACTCTGTATAAAATACCTGGGATCTCTCATCAATACTAATCCAATATGGATCCAGACACACAATAGCACTTGTGACAGATGGGACAGAATGTACTGTGTGACATTTATTCAACTTGTGAGAGGACAGACATATAAAGATTATGGCAGCATAAAATAAAAGAGATTCATGTAGACAACACATGATCCAGAGGGAAGAACTGCTGGCTGGCACAAAGCCAACCCATCCAAAAATCTGACACATATTTCTACTGTCATGGTGAATTTATAGCCTGAGATTTTGATATTCTCTTCCATAAAAACCCCATTCAATGTCTCCTTTTTATTTCATCACACTTAGGAGAGGGAGAATGTCCTCTCCCCAAATTGAAGTGAGAATGAATTTAACTGAACCTCTTTTCTAATCAGAATAATTGAATTGATTCTTCTTTGAGCCAAAACAGCAAAAAACCAAACTCCTGGTACTGTTTTGGTGTACCATGGCCCTCAGGCCTCTTGTTTGGATGATTCAGAAGGAATCAAAATGTACACAAAGAGTAACAAAACCCAACTTTGTATGTGTCAGCCAGGACCAAACAAAAGGATTTAACTGGAAAGTCTTGGTTCCCAGCAGCGACCAGTTTTTCAAGGAAAAATTGTTAATGTATAAAGCAGTTGAGATGAGCTGCACACATCCCATCCCACATGGACAGACATCCCTTTCCCATCAGCCATGACGTCTGTACAGAAAGAAACACAGAAGCAACAGAAGTTGTTCATGGCTCCAGCACCCAAATTCAGCATGAAATGGCTATAAAATGCTGATTCCAGTATTCTTAGGCCTTAACAGATGTCACGAGGTAGAACCAAATTGTCTCAATGTACGAGGATATTGGATGCTCCAAATTTTCTTGCGGATGATGAGCATCCCCAGGTTTTGAAGGAATACCTGCCAGGTTCCCACAGCTCAGTGACTGGACATTTTTTAAAAAGTGGTGCTTGTCTTTAAAGGTCAGTTTAATCAGGGAGATCTCCCTGCTTTGCAGAGCAGCAGGGAGTTCTGCACAGCAAATATGAATTAGCAAATCCACTTATCCCCTCCTACAGTTGTCATAAACAGGTGCTACGTGGATCCAGGCCAGAAACAATCCATGTCTTTACCATTCTCAAGGAGATTTTCATTTGTCTTTCTTCTTAAGTCTTTTCTGTGACATCTGAAATGAGTACACTCTTGTATCTGCAAGGTAATCAAGTTCACATTTGGGAATGGTACATGAACTCAACACACTGCCCCGAGGCTCAGGCCTGAAGGAATTTCAACTGTGCAGAGATGGAATATGCAAAGACAGGAGGTGGTTTAACCCAGGAGGCACTAAACCCCACACAGCCCCTGCTCACACACTACAGTGCACCAGCTCCTGGGAAGAAAATTAACTCTATCCCAGCCAAACCCAGGACAGGGCGACATGGTGACATTGCTAACTGTGAGACTAGATGGGAATTGTTGGATTGCAGAGGCAGACGTGCATGGAAAATTGTATTTTTTGGAACAACAGTGCTTCTCACTCCCTTTGCACAGGTACAAAGAGCTCCCCAAGTGTTGCTCCAGCTTGGTGCCGCCGGGAGCTCCCCAGGTGAAGGCAGCACCAACCAGTGCAGCCGAGCCAAGGTGGAGCAGCAACACTGCTGGTTGTATTCCTTCAGTGCTGCAGAATTTCTGGCTGCCACACCTCAGGTATTCCTGGAGTACCTGGGGCTCCTCCTCCCCCTCCTGAGTGGCTGATTGGAGCTCCAATGTGGCCCTAATTTTGCAGCAAGTCTCAACAGGTAGAGTAAACAGTCCCCAGCATTCCTGGCACAGCAGAGCAGACTGAGCAGGAATTGTCTTTTAGCAGTTGCTATCCACAAGAGACAGGCTATATTTCCCAGGTAGGATAAAATTTTGGATAAAAGTTATGAACTCCAGATAGACAGTTTGCACTGTACCTTCCATTTCAGGCATAGATGTGAAACAGATTCTTGAATTTGCAGTCAGAACAAGGCAGGACAACGTTTGAAAAAGCTTTTGCTTTCTGTTTGAAGACACTGGAAAAGAAAATCTGTTTTCTCCCCAGTGGAGTGAGCTTTAATCCAAGCTTCATTTCTCTAGTCCATGGAAGGCAACATTACACAAATGTGTCCAAAAAGCACAATTTGGTACTGTATGTTTTCCACATTTCCTGTGCTGTAAACAAGAAAATTAGATTATTTAATTTTTTATTTTATTTAATTATTCTCTCATACCTCATATTTATCTCTTTATCTGCCTATCACTATATTGGCACTGAATTTTGTTACTAAATGCCATTATTTTATTATAAAAACAGGGCAGAAAGAAAATAGGGCCCACATGGGCCAGTGTTAGAGTTAGAACTGTATTTTTTTTAAATTCAAATCCATTGTTTATTAAAAAAAAAGTCAGAATCTTCATCTACTATGCACTTGGATCTTAAACAGTATTTTGCCCAGTTCAAAGATTCTGTATTATGTCTCCAGCTGGTTTTTTCTTAGAGCTATACAGCTGGAGCACAAAAGTGTTCTGAAATGTCCCAACTGAATTTCAAATGAATATCAGAAATAGGCAAGGATATACATGATACATGCAGAATATGTGTCTGGGGAAATCACAGAAGATCTAGTTTCCACTAGTTGGTTATACATAAATTATTTAGGCAGTAAGCCTGTTGATTAGCTGGAGGCAAAGATATCTATTTTAGATGTACTTATGGTCAGGATTAACTCATGAAACTTGGATGGCATTGTCCACGAAACAGCTAAAATCATTTCAGCAACCTCTTTCAAAAATTAGATAGTCTCTTTTTGTATCACTTTTTAATTTTTAAAAATGATTTTTTTACTTTTTCCTTAACAAATAGGACAGGATTTTTGAAAATCATGTGACAAATGTCTTACAAAACTACACCAGAAACTATTTAGGGTGACTGGAGAAGAAAGAGGACTGGGAGCCAGGAGACCATTTCTATTTCTAGTTCTGCCATAGACTGTGTGACTGTGACTTTGAACCTCAGCTCCCGTTCCTGTGAAATGGGGATGACAATCCTGTTCTCTCAGGGATGTTCTAGAACACAATTTTCATTTTCATGGAGGTTTATGAAATGCTCGAAACCCCGGATTGGAAGCTGCAAATGCAAATAATAAATCAAGTAACAGCGACCACAGTATCAGCACTACTACTATTATTATTATTATTATTATAAATAATAATAATAATGCTTGTTAATGTTATTAATATTAAATTATAAGCTTGATAGCATTGTTCTCAACCTGCACACAGCAGGAAAATCCTTGTAGCTCACTTCTAGGAACAGGAATGCTGCCGGCACAGTTTCAACATGGGAGTGGAAAAGAATTCTTTAAGTTCTCCATCTGAGCAATTGTAGGTGGTAAAATGAATATCTTTTCAATACTGCTTTGTGACATGAGAGTAGAAGCATCTTTAAGAGCTTAAAAGTATTTTTAAAATGTGACTCAGGGGAGGCTTTCTTTTTCTAACAGAACTGGGGAAAAAAAAAACCCACCCAGGAGTTAAACAATCTTTTAGAAATCCAAAACCTTGAAATAGAACGAGAATTGTAGGTCAGGATAATTTGAGTTCACATGCAACACCATTGACATATAATAAATCTCTAAGAAGCAGAAATAACCAGATCTCTCATATTGGAAGCCTTAAGCTCTGAGAGATAAACCATAAGAATTTTTGTTCTGTGAGTGACCAAAAACTACCAGAGGTAATTTTGGAGGTTAAAGCCTCTTTGAAAATCTCTCATGTCTGTGAAACACTTATATAGGTTGTATTGAGTGGTAGAAATGAGGTGAGGAAGTGGAAACAGAGCAGATCAATAAAACATTTAATCCACTAAAGAAAAACGTGTTCAGGCTTGGTTAGAGTCACATTAATAGAGAGTGAAGACAGTCCAGCAGCTTGTCTTTTCCTCCTGAGCAGCCCATGTTAGGAAGCATTTGTGAAGGCCTTAGGAAAGGTAGGGGAAGGTGACAGACACACTTTAATTGTACCCATTAATCTTACCACAAAAATATTGCCTTTTAAAAAACAAAACCTGGTAGATTGAGGGTTTCACAGATTTCTGAGGGTTCATACTGGAAGAATTTAACTGGTGAACCAAACAGAGCATTTGGTTTCAATCCCTCATTTTGTCTTATTTCATGAGAGAGAAAAAAAATCACCTTAAAAGAATTTTATATTAAATAACCAGTAAAAGAGCTTGTTTGATGGTACACAAGAACTTTATCAGTGTCTGAAAACTGAAGTGTGTTACTTCACTGTGTTACTAATAACTACCTATGAGTTTGGAGGAAATCCTCCACAAGGAACACAGAAACTTCAGCTTGTGTCATATCACAAAGTGTCACACATCTAAGAGAAGTGGTAGTCATGTGCCATCAGTCCCAAACAATGGCTGAAAATGGAGTCATCTCCATGACTAAGGGAAGCTTTTCAATCTTACATTATTGCTGCTGGAATGGAGTGCACCTGCATGTCTTCCCTTCAGACTTGAAAAGTCAGACAATGTGACTTTTTACTGTGATTCAGCAAATCTGTGGAATGACAGACACCTGTGGCATGGTGGAGCTGCTCATGTTACGGTGCTACAACACTGAAAAAAAGGAAATATTGTTGTATAAACACCTTGATAAACAGCCTCTGACGGGGTCAAGAGATTAAAAAAAGAAAGAAAAAGTTTCAAAAACAAGTCATTCAGAGGGTTCACTTTAACTGAGGAATATTACTGTACAGAGCCTGAGTAAATAAAAGGTGAAAAGATAAAAAACTGGCATTACTGAGCTATCTCCTGGTTGTCACTGCTGGTCTCAGACAAATATAAATATCAACATGCACAGACTAATACAAATATATAAGAAGTGTAGCTGTTTGTACTTTTCTTGGACATCCTTTCCTTCATCCATCCTATCCCAGATGGGATCATGCAAAGCAATGTGCATGAGCACAATCCACTGTTTTGCTTTCAGTGTGTAAAATTGGTTTTGTTCCCAGGAATATCTATGAAGCAGGAAAGGAATTTGAATTTATAGTGTCCCTAGAGAGGGATACAATGGTACTATAAATTCAGAGCAATTATTGCCCTACCTTGTAGCTGGGAGGTTCCAGGACTTTTCATCATCCCACCAAGGACCAGGGGATCTCACCTGGCCCCGAGTAATATAAACAGTGCAAAATACATCCTGCAGAGAGTGAAAGGTAAACTCTAAATGCCACATTAGTATCTCTAACATACTCAAGAAACACAAAAAGAAACCAGTTTTAACACTGTAAGAAACAAGGCTGTGTTGTGTGTTCACGTGTCCAGTTCCAAACTGGTTCTGCTCTCCTGACTGAGGGCTTCCAAACTGAAGCCACTTCTTTGCTCAGGAAGTGGTGGCCCATGTCCTGTAGGAAAATAATTCAACTTTTACTGCACTGTTAAGTTCTACAGATCATACTATACAGTATGATCACAGCTATGAGACTACAATTACCCATCAACTCATTGCAGATATAGAATACAGAGCAGTTCTGTAACACCTTACAAACAACAAACTGCCATTTTATAAATACTGTGCTTGGCCACACAGCCCCCCACAAGCTCAGCAGGATCCTCAGCCCCTTCTACAGAGAGCACAACTGAGATCCAGAAGCCCACAAGGAATATTTACATAGGAAAAAAATGGCAGCAAGCTGCCAAATTAATCAGAATTAGACCTTAATTAGATGGAAAATTCAGGTCAGGATGAGATAAGAATTCAAATCTCGTGGGCACCAACCAGTGCTTTATTTCTAAAGTTGTTGTGCATTTTTAAGATAACAGTCAAGATGATTCCTTTTCCAGAGAAACAACTTGGCCATCAAATATGGATAACTCATTTTTTTTAGATATGTACCGTGGATCTTGGTTCTGACGTAATGTTTCTCTCTCCCATACTTTTAGATTTCCTACTGAAATCAGAATGGAATAGACAGAAAGATTTTTCCAAGCAGGGAAATGGACATTATTGTGGCAAATACTCTAACGGAGTCTTCAGCGACAAACAAATGACTATAAACAAGATAAAGAAATAAAAGAAGAGATGTACCAACCCAAACTGTGATCTCTTATAGTTACTCTCACTGAGATCAGAATTCCAAGACAGCAAGGAGCTGCTTTGTGCAGGAACAGTGATCCAGTTCTAGAAATCTCCCAGCAGCAACACTATCCTTTGTGTTCACATTCTCCTGGTCTCCGTGGAAGTCAAATTCTACCTGCTGCTGATACAGGAACACACATTGCCAAGGAATAAAAATTATTCAGAATAAACTCAGATCACCTTAATTATCAACATTCAAATTCATATTTTATCACTGATTTCTCTGCTGGGTTTGTGTAATTGTTTCATGTCAGAATCTTTTTGCATTTTGCTGTTTAAGCTATAAGCTTCTTATAGGGGGAGAGAGGAAAAAAAACCCCTTGACATAATACCGTGAAATCAAAGAGCAAGCTGACTGGAAAAAACAGTTACTATATTTAAACTGCATTATCCTACGACAGAACTGCAGATTTAAAACCTTTCCACTTTGATACAGCATTTTTGCAGCATTTTAATGTGCCTTAGTAGATTTCAACTGGCTGAAACATTTTAATAACTGTAATTTCAGAGGAATAAAATAGTACGGTGGGAGGAAGAAACAATGCCCCCATTTGTCACTCATGAAGACTTGGATTTGAAATCAGCTAGGGAGATGAGCAATGAGTTTGGTGGTCTCAGCCTAAGCCCCATCAGGCAATTAGCCAGGCTGCAAAAATCATGACATAATTTGGCACAATTAAGCACAATATGATCACTTTGTCTATGTCCACTGAAAGAGATCCAGGCCTGAAATAATAAGGCTACTGCAGGTCAGCATTCAAGTGTATTGGCTCAACAACTGGCATTTTGTGTAGTGCCCTTCTGTGCTGTGTTCAGCTCCACTCAAAACTATTAATCTGGTTTGAAAATTGAGCTACAAAACGTATGTTTTTGTGTACAGCAAGAGACAATTCACATTATGACCAGTAACTCTGCTGTGAATCTGCTTTGCAGCAATAGGGATGACTTAATGTTATTGCAATTTGAAGGAAAGCATCCTGCAGTCTTCTCTCAGGCCAAATTCCCATTTACTTCAATTAGTAAGCATTACAGGAACTGTTTTAATGCTGCTGCCTGATGTGTTGGCTGCTTTTTCTTAATATATTACAGTGAAAAAAGATAGTAGGCCAAATGTATGAATATATCCTCCCATTATGTGAATGGAATTTCATCAAGGCCAAAGCTGCCCCATTTTGTTGTGTTGCTTTCTGAGGTACCGCTCTGAGGGGTTCCAGGCTAAAAACAAACTGCAACTTCACAGCAGCAAAATAAATCGATTTTCCTTCCTTAAAAAGGGAGAATGCAAAGCTCCCTGCACCTGCTGGGAGTATGAATCACCTGGAGCTTTCACGGGCTCGGTGCTCAAGGCAGAGCTGAGGTGCTGTCACTCTGATTTGGGTCAAGATAACCACCTTCTTTAAGAGACAAGGCAAATGGCATCAGAAGCTTCATGAATCCTTGCAGAGCGATGGGAAACAACACTGATTTCAACTCACAATTCTAAATTTGTATGATATCAAGTGATGCCAAATTTAGCAGGTACTGCTTCTGCGGCAGTGTCTACATGGGTATTTGTAGCACATTCTGCACTGTTCTGTCTAGACCAAGCACTGTATCTGCAAATGTTCTTCAAAAGTGTAGCTGCCAGAAGATTTGGAAGGTGTCACCTGCAAAGAAATCCTCATTGGTCAGCAGGATCAGTCTTGCACATCTGGGGAAAGAGAGGGAAACAACTGTGGAGGAAACGCAGGGGTTATTCTGCTCTGGGGGAGAAAGAATTGTAGAACGGTCCTTAATTCAGTCATTCTTCTCTCAAAATTCCCTGAACCGTAACACAACACATGACAGAAATAAACACAGGCAGAGAACTGTCCAGAATCTTCCCAGATTTTATGTTGGGTCTATGCTCAAAATGGAAAAAAAGGAGAAGAGTGAAGTCATCTAATATTAATGCATGAGAGAGAAACAATGAAAGTGGAGTTTACAAACTGTGGCTGAACTAGTGGATCCCAGAGAATACCAAGAGTTCTCCAGGATTCACTAGAATGCAAGCTCTCTTTGCCTTCCCAGCAGCATTTCCTCCTGCTAACAAGTTAGACTGAAAGAACACCATATCTACTTTATCATACACTCTGCCAAGCCCTAATTGCACATGCCATGGCTCTGGTATGCTTAAAATATTTTTCCATGAGCCTTTTTGGAAACAGGCACAGAAAGGAAACCAAGAATGACATAAGAAGTATATCACAGGGAGAAATAATATGAAATACAATCTGGGATTCTTTCTAATATAATTTTGTTTTGCAAAGTGCTACTGATGTTTGATTGTAATACTTAAAAATAGTAAGAAAATGAAAGGCAGGAGTTTCAAGTCCTTTGCAGGTGCTCTTGTATATGAAGGGTAGTAAACATGCTTGTGTGTAAAAATACTGCTGTGGTAAATGTATTTTTACAAAAACCTACATATAATGCAGGTTATATTAACTTGGTAGAAGGGAAGAAACTGCTCACATAGATATACTGTGCTGGTAATCAGTGAAATACATTAATTCAAGTCACGGGTGTTATCCTGTATATGATCATTTTGGAAATTATATACTTTTTAATGTTGCATATGTACATAGTTGTGTGTTAGAGGATACCAAAAACTTAGGTGTGTGTTAGGTAGGCCTGTGATAGGCATTTATCAGGAGTTTTGTTGGCACTGAGTGCACATTTTCAAAGATATATGGGTTTAATTTCAGGTGCATGTGCGCCTTGTGACTTTGGTTTTGGTTTGGGGATGATGGGATCACGTGCTCATACAATATCAAGAAAACCATTACAACTGGTTAAGAAACATACAGTAAATTATATGAACTATATACAACTGCCACGTTGACATTCTTTACCTCTATAACAGGCTATGTCTATGTCTAGGTGCAGTGTGAGGTTGTGGTATGAAAAGGAGCATAACTGTACTGAGGCAACATTTGGCCATGCTGATTAATCCTGCTGATAAGCAAGATAAAATTAATATGGGCATGGCATGGAATAAGTAATTGCCTTACCTGAACTAGGTCATCAGATCTAACTCACGAATTTTCATTCAGAGCTGTCCTGTGAAGTGTAGGCTATCAAGTCCTCCTTACCTGGACCTTGGCCAGCCACAGAGGAGTCTTTTAGAGCAGTTGTACTTTTGTTAGAAAGGGCATAGGGCCACATATACCTTAGAACATCACAATTTTATATGGGGTGTCCCCTCTCCATCCTTCTTTTGCTAACACAGAGACAGAACTAAGATATTTCATTCCAGATCAGACATACAGTTTCTTATATCGTGGTGCCGTGGGTGGTTTATAAGTGATGGAAATGCAGATTGTATGTAGGATCTGCATTTATGTAAGCCAGCACACATGTAGGGATCAGCTTTTCTACTTGCACACGCGTATATATACAAGAATATCTCTTGGCACCAAGTTTTAAAGGGAAGGTGTTTACACTGTGTGCTGAATTACTTGCTGTGTTGTGTGCGTGTTGCAGGTGTATTAATGTCAGTTGGCGCTGATTTCTCTGTTTTGTGTTCATTGAAGTGTCTGTGAATTGCCGGGTGGGATGGCTGGATGAGGCAGTTTTCTGTGTTCTGTATCGGCGCCGAGATACGGCGCCGAGGAAAGCTGGGATCTCACCCCACACACGGCGCTGAAATCACACCCTGCAGCTCATTCCTCCTCACGTTATCGCCGCGCGAGCCGGGGCTGAGTGTGCTGTCACTGGGATGTGTGCGACGGGAACGGGGGGAGCTGTGCAAAGGACATCGCTCGGTGCCAGCGCAGGGCAGGACCTCTGGGGAAGAGGACACGCGGGGACACGGCCCTCACCTCTGCGCACTCGTGATGGGTGAGGCTCCTGTCACGACAGCAGTTGGTGCAGCCCTACAGAATCACTGTAGTCACTGGGGTTGGAAGGGACCTGTGGAGATCATCCAGTCCAACCCCTGCCAAGGCAGGGGCACCTGGAGCAGGTGGCACAGGACCGTGTCCATGTGGGTTTGGGGTGTCTTCAGAGAGAGAGAACCCACGCCCTGCTGGGCAGCCTGTACTCACACACTCACACTGACTGCATGATGCTCCTATCACGACTGAGTTAGGGGCCGACACCACACTAACAGTCTTGACCGGATGATGCTCCTGTCGCGACAGACTGCGCCAGCCCCACACACCCCCTTTGCCTGGATGGTGCTCCTGTCACGACCGAGGTGGGGGCAACCCCACACTCACCCTTTGAATGAATGATGTCTCTGTTACGAGTGAGGTGGGGGCAACCCCACGCTCACCCTTTGCCTGGATGAAGCTCGTATGACGACAGCGCTGAGGGCAGCCCTCACAGGACGCTCCTGTCACGACACGCGCCGGTGCAGCCCCGCGCCAGCACCGCCCCGACGCCTATCGCGACAGCGCGGCAGCAGCTCCCCCTCAGGGGGCAGCCCCGCTCCCCTCCGGGCGCGGGTTGAGGCCGGCACAAGAGGGCGGTTCACGCGGGGGCAGCGGGGGCGGGAAGGCGGCCGCCGCACCTGAGGGGCCGTCCCGGTGCGCAGCGGAAGCGCGGCCGCCGCCG